AAAAAAAAAAAAAAAAAAAAAAAAAAAAAAAAAAAAAAAAAAAAAAAAAAAAAAAAAAAAAACTAGAAAGCATGAGAGGATTAGACAAGAAATTCTAAGAAATTGAAAATGAACTTCCAACCACAACAAACAATCACTAAGTGCAAGGGACACTTGAAATGATAGTATTAAACATCATTTAAGCATGCCCCAAGGAAAATTTGACTAGATAAGTGTGAGATCCCACATCGGTTGGAGAAAGGAACAAAGCATTCCTTATAAGGGTGTGGAAACCTCTCCCTAATATACGCGTTTTAAAACCGTGAAGCTAACGACTAACGGGCCAAAGTGGACAACATTTGCTAGTGGTGGACTTGGGCTATTACAAATAGTATCAGAGTTAGACACTAAGCGATGCCCGTGAAGACGCTGGCCCTCAAGTGGGGTGGATTGTGAGATCTCATGTCGGTTGGAGAGGGTAACAAAGCATTCTTTATAAGGATGTAGATCTGGATGTGAATGAGTCGAATTACTTATCCCTTGGTCTATTAGTGAACTATCTCTTCCCTAGCAGATGCATTTTAAAACCATGAAGTTAACGGCTAACGGGCCAAAATGGACAATATCTGCTAGCAGTAAACTTAGTCTATTACCATAAGTCATTCTGTAACATACCCTCATCAACATGGACCAGATAAATATAGCTACCAAAAACATCAATTTCTCATATCAAACATTCTATCCCCAAAAGAAGTAGGATATCCAAGATTCAACAAATGTGGGGCAGAAAAGCTAAAGGATTTGCACAAGAATATCATGTTTAATCTAAATACAGAATGGCAAAATCCTGACAAAGACGGCTTGTTCTTGGTCACGATGAGAGAAAAAAGTCAACAAGAAGGGCGAAAAATTGCCTTCCATTCACATTTATCACTACAGCAAACACTTACCCTTAAAAGATTGGTCAATTCTCAATAGTTTCAGCTAAAATTTCACGAATAAAGCACCCAAAAAAGAGTAATGACAGAGAAACCGGGTTGTGTTCTTCAAGGAAGTATTTAACCAGAAAAGAAAACAAACGAGTAAGGGTACGACTCCAAATAGCAAACGCAAAAGTTCATAAGCTACAAAAGTAAGTCAAAGAACCCGCAAAGAGCAGAGAAAATTAAGCTTCAGGAAGTAAGAACAACGGCAAAAAATTCAGAAGCTATAGAGAACTAAAGAACACAAGAAGTAAAAAGAAAGTAAGGGAAAATTAAGCTTCATGAAGTAAGAACAATGACTAAAATGAGTCAAATCCGTGACAAAACGAAACCCCATTAAAGAGTAAGGTCAAAATGAGGGGTTACCGCCGCAAGAAGGCAAGCGAGGGAGTTTGCAGTGACAAAAACAGTCTCCATCACCATGGCTTCCAAAACAGAAGACACCCACATGGTTCTTTCCATGAAGCCGACACCCTCCAACTCCATTGCCGCAAAAACGAGCTCAAAAGTGAACTGAAATGGAAATTAGCAAGAAAAGGAGAGAGAAGAAGAAGAAGAAGGAAGGTCGCAGAGAGAGAGATGGGCCTAGTAGTGAATGCAGATAGAAAGAGGGGAAGAAATGTGAATAGATTTTCTGAGATTGGGAGAAAAGTTGGGTTTAGTCCAGTTAGGGTAAACCCTAGGGTTTTGTTTGCAACTGCAAAAACAAATATAAATAATTTAAAATTTAAAATTAGGAGGATATAAAATTTAAATTATATCTAACAAATCTATTAATTTCATTAAAAGAACATAAAATTTAAAATTTTGAAATAATAACAAATAAATATAAACTTTGTGAAATTTTCTTTCGATGGGAGAGGAGAATAAAGCATTACTTATAACGATATGAAAATGTCTCTCTAGTAGACACGTTTTAAAACTGAGGCTAACGACAATACGTGGTGGGTCAAAGCGGACAATATATTTGCTCACGGTGGACTTGAGATGTTACAAATGATATCAGAGCCAGATACCGAATGGTGTGCTAGCGAGGACGCTGGATCCTCGAGGGGGTGGATTGTGAGACCCCACGTCGATTAGAGAGGAGAATGAAGCATTTCCTTAAAAAGATATGGAAACATCTCTCTAGTAGACACGTTTTAAAACCGTGAGAATAACGACGATACGTAGCGGGTTAAAGCAGGTAATATTTGCTCACGGTGGGCTTGGGATGTTACAAATGATATCAGAGCCAGATACCGAATGGTGTGCTAGCGAGGACGCTGAATCCTCAAGGGGTTGGATTGTGAGATCCCACAACGGTTGGAGAAGAGAAAGAAACATTTCCTTGTAAAGGTGAATTTAGTTAAAATCCTTTAAGATATAGTTTATGTTATCGGGAGAGAATTTATAATTTCCGAAATCTTCTTCTATCCGGGATCAATCCACCCTAATTAAAAAACGTAATCATTCTAAATATGGTTAGCTATATATGTATAGGTTGCGCCCTTTAGTGCCATCCATTTCTGGAGCTAGTTGATCCGGTAGGTGAGTTGTTACCATCCATTTTTGGAGCTAGTTAATCCAGCAGGTGAGTTGTTACACACTCCTAAGCGGATATTTCAACTTCCATGACCACCGTCCTATTTGTCTTAATTGACCAACACCCTTTTTGGGATTTCGGTTAGTGTGCAGTTAGACATCATAACACTTCCAGTTCGTCCCACATACATATACATACACATACACATATATATATAATCGAGCAAAGAAAAATTTAGAACACGTTTTTTGGTTGTTACACTATTGAAGATTTTGGGATTCTAGAGAGAACAAATTGTGATATATAATGTGGATCCACAACATAAATATAGGAAGTTCACTAAGAACAATGTCAATAATCTTGCTACCTCTAAATTTGAAGGCTGACTAGCTAAATTCCCCTCACTAATAACTTCCCAACTCCTGAGATACAATGGGGAAGGGCACAACTGATAATGGAAAAAGAAAGAGCCAATCACCATTCTCACTTCCTTCTCTTGGCCGGTGGTTCGAGTGTTTCTTCGTCATCGTCATCATCCTCGTCGTCTTCCTCTTCTTCGTCGTCATCATCATCCTCATCTCCATCATCGTCGTCGTCGTCGTCGTCGTCATCTTCATCATCTTCGTCCTCCTCGCCGACTTCTATTCTTCCATTTCCACGTGCTACAGAGCCATCTTCCTGATCAACCTCATCCACTTCGTCAGCCGAGAAATCTTCATCGTCCTCATCCTCATCATCGTCGTCGTCTTCATCATTGTCATCTTCTTCTCCATCATCTTCCTCATCACCTCCTGCCTTTCCATTGCCACTCGCTGCAGGGTCATCCTCTAGATCACCATCGTCCCCTTCTCCGGCTGAGAATTCTTCTACATCTTCCCCACCATCCGGGCCATTTGCATCATCATCATCATCATCAACTTCATCTCCATCTTTATCATCCTCTGATTCACTGCCATCTACATTTTCCTTATCAGGATTGTTCTTTGCGTGAAGTTCTTCAAAAGGAAACCTAAGAGAGAAGTACAAATCAGAAATCTCAGAACTAACTAAGGATAGAAAGTAAAATGATATAAACAATATGAAGCTTTTATTACTTTTTCCCAATTGCAGCGAATCCTGGTGGAGCATTGACATCATTTAACAGTGCTCCTGCCTGAAGAAAACTTAATTATGTTGGAAAATGAATTGAGATCTAAATTTCTTGTTCATTGCATTCAATTAACATCACACACTGTGACTGTGATGGCTCATCAAAGAGTATAATCAGAATATCATAACGCAATCAAATTCCCCAATAGCCTAGAACAAAAGGAATTCTTTTATTTCTGTGGAATTTGCTGGTTCACCCTAAGGTAACAGGTCGATCGATCAATCGATGTGTTACGAAAGAAAAAATTGAAGGATTCCAACATAACCATGTTTGACTTTCATTGATTGCAAAAACAACAAACGAAATTGCCCACAAGCAATCAGAAAGTATAAGTGTTGTTCAAACAACAGATTCTAACATAGAGGAAACTGAATTTGCAACCAAAACCACCAAGCGCCAAGGATATAACTCAAATTGACAAACAAAAGGCATAAGAGATTAACTAAAATGTATTAACTTTTAAAGATGAAAGTACACCGAAAGTCCAAAAGATCGGCCATTCCACACAACAGTAGAGATGAATTCTGTACTCAGACCCATCAACATGGACCTCCAAGAGCTTCAAAATTATCATTTCTAACGTAGCAGGCCCCAATAAGCGAGATTTTCCCAATTCAAAAAGGTGGCAAGAACTCGAAAATATTTTCACAAGGAATACCGAGAACGATAATAAGCAGGGAATGGTAAAAGCTTGAAGAAGAAAATCTTCTTCCTCGTCGTAATTTTGAAAATAAGTTGAAACAAAACGTGCAAAATAGAATTAGCTTCTCATCCACATTAATCCACTGGAAACCAACCAAACACTTCTCTCAGTCTCCACACACAAGTCAAGCCTCAAGATTTCCAGTTAAAACTTCACGTCTGTAGCAATTGTAAGTAACGAACGGGCATAAGAAACAAACGAGCAAGCACAACAAAGGCAAGTAAGCAGCAAACGTCAAGAAAGTAAAAGAAGGCATAAGAAATGAACAAAGTCAACAAAAAGAAATGCAAAGAGCCACTAAATTCAAGCAAGAACAAGAAAAATCAGGACTAGAAACCAGTGGAATCCACAAAAGAACAAAACCGATCAAAGAACAAAGTGAAAGAAAAGGCTCACCGTGGCCAGAAACCAAGAAAGAGAGTTTGCAGCGGTGAGAACAGTCTCCACCGCCAGAGCTTCCAAAACAGAGCGAAACCAGAGAGCGGTGTCGTCCACGCAGTAGCCCACGCCTTCCAACTCCATCACCGCGAGAGAAAAACAAGCTCAAATTGAAGAGAAGAACGGGAAAACGAAGAGAAATGAAGAGGGTAGTTGCAGAACGAGAGCGGGACCTGGAAGAAGATGAAGAAAGCAAATGGTTTTTTCTGGAAATTGAGAGAAAAAGATGGGTTTAGTGGTCCGGTTAGAGTAAACCCTAGGGTTTGGTCCGATTAGGGCTTTGTCTTTTGTTTGCATCTGAAATATAAAATAATAATAATAATAATAAATAAATAAATAAATAACAATAATAAAAGAGAGAGATTGTCCTCCAATCAAATTTATTTGCGTCTATTTTTTTAGGGTTTCTTTTTTAATTCAAAATTTCGGACTCGGATTTTTTCGGTTGGATTTGGCTCCGACCCGACCCGACTCGGAAAGTCAAATATTTAATTAAATTTTTAAACTAATAATTTTATCGATTTAAACCTTAAATTTTATTTATAAGAATTTTATTTTGAAACCATTAATATATAAATTGATTAATGCTAATTAGCGATAATTTCTATAATAAAATGGTTGATTACCGTTTTTTTTTTATTGAATTAAAGTGATTTTTCATTTACCATCTTTCTTTATTTTCATTCTTTATTCAAAAATAATAAAATTATAATATTTATTGTTAATTTGGAGACAAATAATTATATTTCATTCATTTTCAGCTGGTTTTAAAAAATAATTACAAATAATTACAAATTACTGACAAAAAAAAAAAATCTATTCATTTTTTAAAATTTCTCGAATTTATTCATTCTCGTTGACGTAACATGCAACATATTTGGATATGCATTTATGTTATTCCGACATGTTACTCGAAAAGAATGGAGTTTGTTGACGACCGACTTAACTTTTTGTTTATAGGTAGAATGGATTCTATTACTTAGATGACGTGTTCACGTGTCTAAATATATTCGTTTTTAATGTCTAAATTTTAACTATTTTAATGGTATAATTGAAAAATTTTAATACGCTAAGGGTAAAGTTGTAAATTCAAATCGAGTATATAATAGATTGAGAATTACTAACGAGATTAAAATAGTAACTAATTTCATTATGAATTAATAGAGGTGAAAATAAACTATAATGATTAAATAAACTAAAAATAAAAATACATAAATTATTATTTATTAAAAATGCAAATATCTTAAAACACTAATATAGATTCGACCCATTTTTATTAATTAGGTTATTTTTGTATTTTTTTTAATTTAAAAAAGCATAACAAATTTTACTTTGAAAATTCAATTTAAAAATAATATTATAAAGTGAAATTTTAATAAAATTTTAAAGAAAAAAACAATATTATAGGTAAGATTTTGTTAAAATTTACTATGAAACCGGGACGTGGGGTTCGACTCAATCGGCTGCTGTGCCACAATCAGATATGTGGAAATCGAGAAGACGACAGACAGTAAACCTCGATTTGGACCATGGAGTCGAACAGATCTAGAAAATATACGACTATGATTCGGTAGTAGACGAGGAGACTTGACTTTGAATAAAAGATGATGATGAAAGGTCCCGGCATTTTTAAAACAGAACCTTATTAGCTCGAAACAATAAGCTCGAAAGTTTGAACCAAGGTTTGGTTTTTAACGATTTAAGTTTTTTTAAACCTATTAAATATAATATTTAAAAAACTACCAAATATAGGGATTTATTTTTATTTTTTTTTATTGAGAACTTAAAATTTACCAAATTAATTAGACGAATAATAAATAAATGATTTAAAATTTTTAATTTAACTCTTTTTTTTTTTTAGAAAA